TTCTTTTGAGAAAACTATCATCATATCATATACAAAGAGACACCAATGTTTCAGGAGTTTAGTACACAGAATAGGACACATGCTTATTAGATAACCGTACTTGAGTTGATGTATATGCGTTTATTTATTATTATTTTTTAATTATCTTTTTTTTTTTTTTTCAAACCATTGTTAGATGCAGTGTTTCCTGTAGTTATGCAAAGATTTGGTTTCAAAAACAGTATCAGTAAACTATTTCTTATGATTTTAAATCTGCATTGAACTTCAAAAAGGCGGTACTAAAGTCTGATTTTGTGGTGGACGTGTTCAAATGTGATCATCTTAATTCAAGTGAGGAAGGATTGTGAAAGTCTGACAGTGTAATCTGTAACCTTTCCAAAGTAACCTTCCCAACACTGTTAGAAATAATAATGTATAATGTAATAATGTTTTTCTTTACATGCAATAATGTAATGAAATACTTGCAAATTCAGTGTTTCTTGGAGGAAAAGATATTGTCTTGACTTGAATTGCTTTGTAATTTGAGTATTTCTCATCTTTGTATAGGCTATATATATTCTGGTGTGATTTTAAAGTTTTCTTTAGGGACATTTCTGAAGCTGCCTTTTTTTGTGGAATATATAACTTTTTTTGGACCAAAGATTCTAAAATTCTAAACATTCTTTTCATGACGTTGGCACTCCTTCACGTGCACATCCTGGGGTTCAGATGAGGGAAGCACTTGAAGCCATAAGTAATTGCTTGGCCCCCTGCCTGTCAGACTCTCTTCCATGCCTAGAGTTGTGTTTTCCTCCCCCACTTTCTCCAGTTTGATTATTATGCCCATATTTGGTTTTTCCTGTTCCTGTCCCTATTTAGTTCTATTGGCTCCAGCTGTGTTTAATTATCTCGTTTGCCTCCTTTTATTTGATCCCAGGTGTGTCCCATTCGTTTCTGTGTATTTAAAGTGTGTTCTGCCCCTCATTTCCCATCCGCTGTTAAATGTCATTCTGTGTTCCCATGTTCCTCATTCTGTGTCCCATGTTCCTCATTCTGTGTCCCATGTTCCTAGCTTTGTGTTTAATAAATACTTTGGATTTAGCTTACTCGTCTCCTCGAATCGTGACAGAACGGCGGACCTAAACAGTAAGCAGCGCCCCTTCTCTCGTGTTTTTGTTTTCCCAGTTTTCTCCCCGCGGTATGCTGTCAAGCTTGCCTGAGTCAAGTTCGTCGGCCGCTCCAGAGCTCGCTCCTGTGTCGGCTCCAGCCCCCGAGTCTAGCCCAGTGAGGGCTCCCATCCCCACTCCTCGAGAGTGCCCACCAGTGCCCGCGCCTCGAGAGTGCACACAGTGCCTGCGCCTCGAGAGTGCCCACCAGTGCCCGCGCCTCAAGAGTGCCCACCAGTGCCGCGCCTCGAGAGTGCCCACCAGTGCCCGCGCCTCGAGAGTGCCCACCAGTGCCCGCTCCTCCAGAGTGCCCACCAGTGCCCGCTCCTCCAGAGTGCCCTCAGGACCCCGTTCCTGCCAAGACGCCTGTCTGGACTGCCTGCTCCGCCATGGCTCCCCGAGCTGCCTGATCCGCCCTGGTGCCTCGAACGGGTATCGCTCGATCCAGAGCGCCCACCGCTTCTGTGTATTTAAAGTGTGTTCTGCCCCTCGTTTCCCGTCTGCTATTAAGTGTCATTTTGTGTTCCCCGTGTTTCCTGTGTTCCCAGCTTTGTGTTTAATAAATACTTTGGATTTTTCTTACTCCTCGTCTCCTTGCTCCTTCGTTCCCATGCTCCCCGTGTGAATCGTGACATTGCCAGGGCTGGTTTAGAAAGCACCTTATTATCCAATGACATAAACTGACTGAATTGAAGCTGCATCATTATCGGTGTTGTCTTTATTTAAACATTGAATATGAATAAATAAATCATTCTTATAAACTGATACTGAGTTTGGTGTTATTGAATTTCAGAGGTGTTTGTGTAGGCTATTCCTTCAGTAACAAACCCACAATTCACTTCTGGCGCATACATTCTGTGTACATCTACATCTCAAGTAGGGTGAATTCAGGTAAAATGTGTCATTAGAGATTTTTTTTTATTTTCTTTTTTACTTTTAACTTTAAAATCCAGCAATATTTTAATTTGAATAGTTCTAATGAAGTGTTATTTGCAAGATATATATACCAATAAACATTTTGAGGTCATGTAGGGCCTACTTCAGACAAATTTCTTTTCAGGTAAAGTGGGCCATCCCTTATTCTGTCTTTCCTTTCTTCCATCTCTGACTTTAATTTCCTGACTGCAGACTCACTTCTGTTTTCTAAAAAAGTTAATTGCACATGTCAGCTATAAAATAGCCAGTGAATGTCAATTTATTTAATGAATTTGAGTATAATTACTGAAGGTTAAAGGTCAACCCACTTTACCTGAATCCCACCGGCAGACTTTATCTAACCCATTGAGCACAGTACAATCAAACTTAAATGGCCCACTTTACCCGAATTCACCCTATTTTTATCTAGCCTAAATAAGTAGATGAAAATAATTGTCATGTCTTAAAAATAGATTCGACTCAAAATTTAATTCTAGTAATTTGGATAAAATAAAGTTAAATTTTTCTAGTTTTCTTCAAACATATTTTAAAGACCGATCTTTGTGCAGCTGAGATCAGCTGTATTTGTGGCTACTGTCTAAAAAGCAACAAAGCCTAAATGTTGTAAGCGCATGATATATTCCCAACATGTTTAAAATAAGTGAGGCGTATTGTATTATATATTTTTTACATGGCTAATGTGTGGTGCAATAGTCATAATCTTCAGAAATCGCTCCCACAATTCACATTTAAGCTCCACAGCAGACCACCTGACGGTCAAAATGGCATTACGTTAATAAAGTGTGCACTCAGAGGAAGACCACGAGGATGAGGCCTTAGCAGTGTGAAATGCTAGCTAGCTAAGTA